CTGGGCTTTACGATCATAGAATAATTAAGTTGGAAGGGGCCTATAAGGTCACCAAGTCCAACCCCCTGCTCAATGAAGAAATACAAATTGAAAGATATCTGCAAGGTGACTGTCTAAAATTTTTCTTAAATGCCTCCAGCATTGGAGCGCTCACCACTTTTAGAGGTAATTGATTCCATTGGCATACTGCTCTAACAGTCAGAAAGTTTTTCCTGATATTCAACCAAAATCTGGCTTCCTGCAACTTGAGCCCACTGTTGCGTGTCTTGCACTCTGGGATGACTGAGAACAGATCCTGCCCTTTTTCTGTTTGATAGCCTTTCAAATATTTGAAAAGTGTTATCACATCTCTCCTCAGTCTTCTTTTCTCAAGGTTACACATGCCCAGTTCTTTCAGTCTTTCCTCATAAGGCTTGGTTTCCAGCCCCCTGATCATCCTTGTTTCTCTCCTCTGAACTTGTTCCAATTTTACAGCACTTTTCTTGAACTGTGATGTCTGAACTGGACACAATACTCAGGATGAGGCTTAACCAGTGCCAAATAGAGGGAAACTAATAGTTCATGGGATTTGGAGACTATGCTTCTACTAATGCATCCTAAAATAGCATTTGCCTTTTTTCGTAGCCATCATCAAGAAGTCCTTGTAGCGTCCTGCCCTGCCCTCACCTGTCTGTCACAGCTGAGCAGTGGAACAGCAGCCAATGAGGGGACGGAAGGTGGTGCTAAAGGGGGAGGAGCTGGGATATAAATAAGGGTGTATGGTGTATGAGTGTGGGAGATTCAAGAGATTTGAGTCTAGTGTGAGAGACTTAGTGAGTCTGTGGGCCTGTGAGCCATAAAGTCAGTGAGAGAAGGGTCTGTGTGTCAGTGAGAGAGAGATATTGATTAACAACTTGTGATTTACCTATTTTATTTTATTGATCAAATAAACGAGTTTTAGTTTTGAAGCAACACTTGTCTCCTTAAATAATTGATACTGAACTGAAATATTGGTGGCAGCAACTGAGTGGAAGAGTGAACACCTCCTGGAGGCCTGAGGGAATAGAGGCTCCAGCGCGCTCGCAACAGTCCTTTCTCTCAGTCCCACTACTTTCACAGGCGCACTTGGTGGGGACACAGGAGAGAGCCTTCTCTGTCTTTGCTCCCTGACTCTGGAACTCCCTCCCACAGGAAGCCAGGCTGACCCCATCTTTGCTGTCCTTCTGCAAGCAGGCGAAGACCTTTCTCTTCAGGCAGGCATTTCCTTAGTGACTGGCTGCCTAAGAGAGTTTTTAAAAGGATTGTTGTGCTTTGTTGCTTTTAACTGTGTTTTTAGTATTGGTTTTATTTATCATTTTTAATATATTACTTGCTTAATTAAATTTTGTAATATTTGTGTACTTGGTATTTTTAGCATTTTTAATATTTCATTTTTAATGATGTAAACTGCCTTGGGTCCTTTTAAGGAGAAAGGTGGGGTAAAAATATTTTGAAATAAATAAATAATAAGTGAAAAGGGACTGTTTTCTCCTACTTCCCAATAGTTTGTAAGAACCCTACATGGGAGCATGCTCTGATCTTGAGATCTTCAGGTGAAATCTTTTTCTCATTCCCTATCCCCATATCAGGACAGAAGACGCTCCTGGTGGCTGCTTCCACACTGCAGAACTCTTCCCAAGGGAGGCTAAACTAGCTACATCTCTCCTTTTAAGAACTGGCAAAGATCATTTTATTTAGACAAGACTTTTCCCACTAACCAGTTGTTAAGAAAGAGCCTTTTAATGGAGGTATGTGCTTTGTTTTCTTCTTTGCTGTGATTCTGAAATGATTTTAAAATTGTTTTCATTTAGTGCTTATTTCTTATATGGTGATTTCTTTAATTCTGTTTTAATATTACACCTTACTCTCTTTTTAGCTACATCTTTTAACTGATGTTATGGGCCATGCTGCTCCTACATATGGAGAAGGGTGGGATATTAAATAGAACAGATAAATAAATGTTACCAGTCATCTCCTTTTTAACAGCAGTAGAAAAGACAGCCTATGTTACAATTTATCTTTTAAAATATGGATTTCATTTCCATGGTTTTTACTGTGCATATACTTCATTGGTTTTAGTAGATTTTATGATAGTGTTGGTTTTATTTAATTTTTACAGTTAATCTTCGTTTGCTTGTTTTCATTGTTTGATGAAGACTGTTTTGTAGTGGAAAGGTAGGTATTAATGTAGTTAATAATCAGTTATTTCATGCCAATGAGGATGCATCAGGCAGACGAGGTTGTTTTTAAATTTCTGTCTACAATCTTCATTCAGAATGGGCAATTCATGTTCTATGTGTCCTGCGAGCACATTTTTATAAATAGCATCATCTTTTTTGTGGAGTATATCCCTGCATTTCTTAATTTATAGGGTAAAAGTTATTAACTGGTCCCAAGAAACTTTCTTAAAGCCAAATGCTGAACGAGAGGGCAAGTATAATTTCTACTCATTAAGGGCAGCCTGCTGTATACATGTGGAATTATAGATTGGGGCCAAGAAGTAAGCCAGGAGCCATCTGCAGAACTTCTGTTTTTAAGATGTAAAGTATCATTCAAACAATTTCTTCATGACCGTGGCTGTATCAACAGTTCTCCACTTCCATCCTGCTCAGACAGCACTGATGTCAACTAGAACAACCACTGACTGACCGTCAAAATCCAAAGGCCAATCAAAATAGATGATCCAACATATTAACACAGGATAAAAACAGCAGTGAACATCAAACAACCCGAAGCCCAGGATCAGAAAAGCGTATTTTTCATGAGGGCAAACTATGGAAAGGACATCACCGTTTTTATTATTCTTTACGCTAACAGTTTATAAAAATCTTAACATCCTACAAAAAGGCTAGAAAATACACGAAATATATGTATATGGAACAATGTGCCAAAATGATTCACAAACGATTAACTCTTTAAACAGTTTGAGCTTCCTGTCATTTTTCAAGCAAACGAAGGGGGAAAAAAAGAGGAAGGAGGTGAATAGGTATGTCTGTAAGGCTCCAGAAGTGTACATGTAGGTTTTAAATAGGCAGCAGGACTTTTCTGCATCATTTAACACAGAGACATATGCAAAATAATGCTTTTCAAAAACCTTAAATGGACTTCCAGCCACTTCTGGTTTAATTTTGTTGGCAGTCTATATATCCTTGGGAGTGCCAGAGGCAGAACACTGGCCTGTAGCTCTACCAAAGTTACCCAACCCTGCACAAGAGGAACCAAACAGAAGCGCATCAGTGTACCACTTAAGCAGAATAAGCCTGAATCCCCTCCATTCCCACACAAAAAAAACTTTAACATAACTCAATAGCTCTGACCTCACAGCTGCACAAAGAAATCGGGAATGCATCCACCAGCAGCAAAACAGTGCACAAGAGGGAAAGACCAAGAAATTCTGATCTGGCGCAATGGTAAAGAATACTAAAGAGGAACTCGCATGCAGAGAACGGCAACTAGGGATGTGCTGAAGTTATGTATCATTTCCCATGATTCAGAGTCCCTTCTCTCAATTTGGAGAGACCATTTCGGACCTCTTCACAATCAGCCTGTATTCTGTTTTAAATCCTTTGATGTTGGCAGAAATGAGGTCACGTCCCTGTTCATCTCTTACTGCAGTTCACAAATACACTAAAAGCTTTTTTTGAACAACCGTACTATTTACCACCCCAGTATTGTGGTTGTTCATTCCTACGCTCTGCTTTCTGCTTGTTAACCAAAATCTTGTGGCACTACAAGCTAAACACTCATCCCAGAATTGCTCTCATGTAGAAAAAAGAGACCATTTAAAAGGTTTCTGAGGCAAACAGCTTGTTACAAGTTAAGTAGAAGGATTATTTAAAAAAAAACAGAAGGATTTTAAATTGTGTTAAGAGCATTCTCTAATCCATAATGCATCAGGGATATTTAAATTTGTGAGTAAATACAGCAATCACACAGACCGAAGAAAGAAACTGAAAATTATTCATTATTTATACCAGAGCTGTATTAAAACTGGAGGAACCAGCACCACTCTCCAAACCTAGACTTGAAAATAAACTGCAGGGACTTTTGTAATCTGCCTAAAAACAAGGAGCAAATTATACAAGACCACAAACTCTTATCAGATCACTAATGAGAGAAATATTCAGAGCTGTCCATCAACTATCTCTACTGTCTGGTCCATTCTAGGAAAGCTTCCCCCAATAGTGGTTGTTGTGGGTTTTTCGGGCTCTTTGGCCGTGTTCTGAAGGTTCCCACTAGCCCCACTAGCTTCAAATCTGCAATTAATTCTCTGTTTTGGTTTCCAAACCTTTAAAGTGACAGCCAGAGAAGCAGGGGTGTGTGTTAACACAGGAAGACTGGTTTGCCACTTGCCCTAATCCCTTCTCTCACTGTCCACCTGTTCCAGTTCCTTGATATACTGACAACAAGGCACGGACATCAATAAGATATGCCATTCTCCCACAGTCAGCAGTCTATTGCCCAAAGTGTCAATAAGCAGAGCATCAAAGAGAGGACAGGACGAGAGGAAGGAAGGAACCCTCCTTCAGTCTTACTCTGTATCCCGTTCTGCAGCTCCTATGGCCAATATCAAAAAGCCCCAGAATGGGGAAATAACACACCTATGGACTCTTATGATGATCTCTCAGGAAGGTGGAAGATGATAAATGTGGACAAATGGGATTTTCCCTTAGACTGGCTCAGAAAAGATTATCTGAATTCTCCCCCCCCCCACCACCACTTTTCTTTCTTTCTTTCAAAGCTATAAAGCATTCAACCATTTGTAATGGGAATATTCCCTTTTAACTTATTCTGCATACAATTACTGGATAACTTTCTGCCAAATGCTAAGTGCAGCACAGCAGCAAATCAACCCAGTGAGACCAAAGGATCAATCTGTTAATCAAACAAATTAAGAACTCACAGAACCAAGCAACACCATTATCACTGAAATGAAGGGGCAAGAATCTGAGGAAAAGAAGGGCAGCAGCCAAAAATCTTACACAATATTTGTGAGGTAGAGCTCTCCAGGGCTTGTTCCCCAGTCTTTGGAAGTGTTGCAACATAGACATCAACCTCCTCAGCTAATGCTGTAGAGATAAAAAGGGGAGAGGGGGGAAAACAAATTAAAATCCTAATTTCAAAGGTTTTATTTATCTTTGGATGGAAAACAATGGGCGTTACAGGGAAGACAGTTTGAAGTTGTTTTACAGCAGTGGAAGTATTTCTGGGTATTTGATTATCTACTTAATCCCCTCTGTTCTAGTACTGAGAGAGTTAACAAACAATAGTTTGAAACAATAAAAATACAACAATTAAGTAAGAAAGACATCAAGTTAAAAAAACATTACAACAAAATATTAGCAAAGGAGTGACCTAATACTTTAAAATATTTCACTAGTTCTTCAGGAAAGGCTTGACCAAATCAAACCATTTAAACTTGCTTCCAGAAAGAGAGATGTGGATACCAGGAAACTGGTCCTAGGAATGACATTCCAATGTGCAAAACATTATTGCTAAGAAAGCTGTATACGGGTCACCACTCATCTGACCTTACTCTCTGGTAAGGAGACCTGAAGAAGCTGACAGATCCATATGAGACAATGTGGCCCCTCCAATACTCTTGAACAAAAGCCAGTTTACACTGCTTGATTTTTCACTCAACCCTACCAACATATATACAAATTAGGACTGCGGCATCCATGGGGGATCGGTTTCAAGCTGCTGTCACCACTGCAGACGCTGGAATGGATGTAATAAAACTACAGTATTAAGGTTGTTCTGCAATCCACTAAAAATATTGCTAAGGGTGCTTCCTCACACAGACCTAGCATCATTAAAATAGTCAAAAAGGCACCATGCAACGGGGATGGTTCAACCCCCATCCCATTTTTTTTAAAATTTTCATTAAAATGGGTGCTGTGTTGAGAAACTATGGAAGGGAAGGTGGGAAGAGGCCCACATCTGGTTCCCATTATAACCATCCAAGGAGAAGGGAACAATGAGAAATATTGCATTTTCATTGTTTTAAACTATGTTTATTAACTCACTCAATACTAAAATTGAGGGGATTAATCTTGTGAAAGGAAGCAGGGCAATTGAAAGCTCAAAGCCTAATCTAGAACTACCTCAGGTAAGCACTATCAAAGCAGTACTAAAAGCAGTATCAAAGGATTACCAAAGCATCAAAGGAGTAACAAAGTAATATCAAAGCAGTACTAAATGTTCTGTGTTTCGTGATTTCCACTCTCCGGTGATTGGTGCATGTCTAAATACTGCATAGCAAGTAAATTTTGGGATTATTTATCTTCTCTCACTTTTAAAAATGTTACTATGACTGGTAGAACAAAATACAGTCTTTAAATTTTACTTCGAACCAAAACATACATATACAAACAGTACCATTTTAAACTACCAAAATAAAATTAAAGCCCCAATGACATGGGATGTCAGAAAGTGTAATGAATTTGGAATTTACTCCCCTTTCCAAGTTGCAGCATCAGAAAACACTTCTTCCACCCCTTAAAAATACTGAAAGGTACTTTGGGGGAAATTATACCCTGTGTGCTGCAATCTCAACCAACACTGAACCCACATCCCACCACATTGGCTTGGGAGGAAGCTGGTGTGTAAGTAAAGTTGAGGAGGAGAGATAAGACTGGTCAGAAGGATGTCATGGCTAGCAACCACAGACTCAAGTGCTGCAGTCATGTTAGTGATTCTCCTCTCTAATTTTCAATTACAAGTTATAAAATAAGCGATTCCTTTTTAACAAACTCACTCTCTTCCAAATTCTGATCCTCCTTTCTCTGCCCTCTTAGCCCTTAAAGCAGGGGTGGACAATTAATTTCTATAGGGAGGCCACATGAAAAATCTGAACTGTGTTCGGGGGCTGAACCAACTTTACTCAAAAATAAAATGAAACAGTGATGTTATGATTGTTTTATGATTGGTTAAACTTCACAAATACTAAAGAGGTTTTTTTGTGGTATGTTAAAGATAAGGTACTGATCAACTTTAGACAAGGAGCTATAAATGGTTTTGATGTCTGACAGGCTGGACAGGAGCAGCTCATGGGCTGTATGTGGCCTTCGGGCCACACTTTGCCCAGGTCTGCCTTAAAATATCAATTAGTTTACTACTACTACTACTACTACTACTACTACTACTACTACTACTACTACTACTACTACTACTACTACTACTACTACTACTACTACTACTACTACTACTACTACTACTACTACTACTACTACTACTACTACTACTACTACTACTACTACTACTACTACTACTACTACTACTACTACTACTACTACTACTACTACTACTACTACTACTACTACTACTACTACTACTACTACTACTACTACTACTACTACTACTACTACTACTACTACTACTACTACTACTACTACTACTACTACTACTACTACTACTACTACTACTACTACTACTACTACTACTACTACTACTACTACTACTACTACTACTACTACTACTACTACTACTACTACTACTAAAAGGAATAAGATCCCAGGTTGTAGGAAAAACTTTCAAGTATACTTGATCTTGGAAAACATATTTCAGGGGGAGGGAGATGGCAGCACCCAGAATGGCCATGCTAGCCAGAGGCTTCGGCAACTCCCAGGAATCCTGGCCAGCATAGCAAGTGGTGAAGGCTTCTGCAAGTTTTAGTCCAAGAACATCTAGGGACCCCTGCTTTAGGCAGTGGTGGAGATGATGAGAGTTGCTGCCCATCAACATCTCATGCTTGTTTTTAAATGCTAAAGAAATTCTGTAGTTTTAGAAGAGGTGACCATGTTGATTTGTGTGAGCATATCAGGCAAAATCCAAAGGAAAAAAAAGAACAAAAATTAAAAAGAGAAATTTAAAAGTCAAAAGCCTTGGGGCACCTTACAGATTAACTCTTATTAATGTGAGCTTTTATGGACTTGATCCAGGAAATATAAAATATACACTAAAATATAAGACGCCACAAGGTTTTTGTCTTTTTTTTTAATTTGTATTTTAATTTTTGTTCTTTGAATTTTGCCTGATATAGAAATGCTGAGCAAGTCTTTTCCAGACATTGCTTTCCTTTCTTCAAAAAGAAATAAAGATGATGCTGGTTGAAGAATTCTGTGTGCTGAAGCACCAAAACCAACAGGTTACCTACTTGTAACTGTAGTTCTTCTAGTGGACATCTGTGATTCACACTACCTATAGGTAATCCGTGCCTGCACAGAGCCTCATCAAAATATTCTAGAGCTTCTGTGATAGCAAAGGAAAATATATTATCATAGACCCCTCCCCCCTGGTATATGTACCTTGGCGCCAAGGCTCTCCCTTCAGTTAGGTCAACTGGTGCATAAAGAAAAGAGCATGACACTGGGGAGGCCGGGTTGGGTCGTGTGAAACACGGAGGTCACTCGAAGAACTGCAATTACAGGTAAGTAACCTGTCCTTCTTCGTGGCCTCTGTGAATTACACCATGGGTGACTAAAAAAGCTACCATACCTGGAGGAGGGTGTCACGCCAAGGTAGATGATAACACAGCACGCCCAAAAGCAGCATCAGATTGCTGCCCAACATCCAATGTGTAATGGATGGTAAACGTGGACGGCTGTGACCATGTGGCAGAGGCACAGATGTCTGGTACGGGGACGCCCCGAAGAAATGCGGTAGATGTCACCGACACCCTAGAATGAGGACAGTTACTCTGTGACACTGAAACTCAAGCAAGCTGATAAGCAAGCTGGATGGTAGACAGAACTGAGTTAAGATATTCTCTGCGAGGTAACTTGAAGACCATTGGCAGGAAACTGGTAGCTGACAAAATGTCTAGCTGAGCATCTGAAGGATTGAGTGCAGGCTATGTAAAAGCTAAAGCCTGCCTTACATCCAGAGTGTGAAGGATCCTTTGTTGACGAGTAGATTGATTTAGGTGTGACATCAACTGTGTGTCTAGTGGATAGCATCTGTTGTTTCGCCATCGAAAGACCCTCTTGTTGAAAAGTTTGTGATAAGACCCTTTTATTTTTGGGGAGAGCATCAATAAAGGTAGACATATTGTCCAGAGAAAACATTGGTAAGTGCCCTTAGCTCCCTGATAGTTAGCAACTGTCATGGTGAAGGCAGCAGAAGAGTATAGCCATCTGCCTATGGAGTCAATGTGCCTGCTGTCTTTATTAGGTGGTATTAGTATTTGTCTGTGTCGAGAGCGAGGTTGTGAAGCTCTGACAAATATGGAATTGGGAGCTGGTTATTTCTGTAAAAAGACTGCACCCGGGTCATGTACTCAATAAAGGTTGTCTATGCATTTTGACACCGAATGAGATGATGCTGTTTTTGGTCCAAGAATGTCTAGCTGTTGCTCAGGAGAGAAGGGAGCATGGAAATATGGACTGGTGTGATACTATCTTTAGAGATGGGATCATAAAGATGGATCTGCTGCTCCAGTAGTGGGTCTATGGATTTGTAAGTCGAGGGATTTGGCCATGTGAATCATTAGTTGAGCATAGGTTTGAAAATCCTCTGCTGGTGACGGAGGGTCTGTGTCTGCCAGGTCAGAAACCAGCAATGTTAAAAGGTGTTTGAGGCCTGGAACCATGATCAGATGGGTCGGCCTCGAGTCAATCGACTTGAGTCAATCGACTGTCGATCAATATTGACATCAAGCAGCTGGTCCTCAAAAATATAGGTATCAACACTGAGTTGTTGATGTCGAAGGTGCGTTGATGGACAGGGGTCGATATAGAGGATTGTCAATATTGAAAGGTTGGTATCGAGGTGTGTCGAAATAGAGGTGGCTGTTGGTGTTGAGACAGTTGCCGAGGTGGTAAAGGCGTCCATGGACCACAATGTATTATAGTGGAATAGACAGACGCCAGTGACACTGAGCAGGATGAGCGCTCGCGGTCCTCCTAATGGAGAGGAAATTAGTAACTTGCCCATGGTGCAAACGTGCCCAGGTAGCCGAGGAGTATTGCTCAGCTTGGTTGGGGCTCTTAGATGCCAGCAGATAAGATGTGCCAGGTAGTCCTGGGTGATCATGGTAATAAAATCGCTTCGACGCCGAAGGCTCCCT